TGCCGATTCTGTTCCAAACGTGGAGCTGAGGCTTTTCCACCCCCAGTGCCCAAATCCGGTGCCCGCGAGGAGCGGTGAGGTGCTGGTGCTGTGGGACCGACTGGGCTTTGCTGGTGAGGCTGATGGCAGAAGCTGCTGGTGTGCAGTGGGATGAGGCCACTCCCAGATCTCAGCTGGGCTCTTTCTTTGCAGCCAGATAAGGAATTCTCTTGCAGCAGCGGCGTTGCCATGGTAACAAGCATGTTTCTCCCAGCTCGCTGGAGCCTCAGTGCAGGGCAGAGGAGCAGTGTGCCCAGTGTAGTGGCGTCTTGTACTCGCCCTGTAGCCTGGTCCTGAGGGATATCCCTGTTAGATCTCTGTGGCCAGTGGAAGTGATGAGCGTGCGGGGCTCCTGGCAGCTTCCCGACTCCGGGCTGCCTTCCTGAAGGAAGAACGGAGTAATGGGAATGTTCTGCTCGGCAGTGGAGCTGCCTGAGAGCGTCTCTGCCGTGCAGCTGTATCCAGTGAGGAGAAGCAGAAGGGGAGGTGTGAGGACCCTTCTGCAGAGGGATGGAGGCAGTTCCTTAAAAGCAAGGGTGTGTGTTTTGTGTGGGTTAAGCGCTGCCCGCAGGAAGTCAGGGCTGAACGATGTGGTTCAGGGTCAGGAAATGGGGGCCTGCTGGGCTGGTGTGTCTCCATCCCCAGGGTGAAGGATGAGGCTCTCCGCCTTGACAGCTTGGTGCCTCTTTAACAGGCCAAAGACGTGTGTTGAGCAGTCTCCTTCCCAGTTCCGTTTAACATATCATTTTGTTGCTCTTCGAGCAGGCCACTTCCTCCTCTGGAGGAACGTGCCAGCGGGGCTGGCTCTGGGGCAGCCCGCTGCCTTGTTTGAGCAGCAAAGTGTTGTGGGTTTCCCTGGTGAAGAGCAGGACGTGCCAGCATGGGAGCGCCTCGTCAACTCGTGTTCTCACAACCTCGTCTTGAAACATGCTGTGCAGGGGGGGGAAGGGGGTGCCAAGCGCCTCGCTGCCAACCAGGGGGAAGAGCTCGGACAGCCTGCCCCGGGAACGGAACGTGGTTTGTGTTGGGCCCTGCTCTAACACTGGCTTCTTTCATGGCTCTGCTCCTCCCTCCTTGGGCAGGGTTAGGAGCAGCACGTCCTTGCAGGCTGCTTTGTTACAAGTAGCTGGGATATTTCATATATGCCTGGCATGTGCCTGTGTGTGGATATCTGTAGAAGATCACAGTGGTGCCCTGAAATGGCTGCAGCTCTGTCTATCTCTAACAGCACAATAATCATGGAACTGTTTGGCTTGGAAGGGACCTCAAAGACCCTCCAGTTCCAACCCCCCTGCCATGGGCAGGGACACCTTCCACTACACCAGGCTGCTCCAAGTCCCATCCAACCTGGCCTTGAACACTTCCAGGAATGGGGCAGCCACAGCTTCTCTGGGCAACCTGGTCCAGTGCCTCACCACCCTCAGGGAAGAATTTCTTCCTTAGATCTGATCTAAATCTCCCCTCTTTCAGTTTAAAGCCGTAATCTTGCTGGAGAGCAGGATTCGGGGTTCTCCTGGGATGGCTCAGGTGGGGTGTTAGTGTCCCCAAAGTGTCTAAGCTTCCCCCCGGGCTCTGGTTGGGGTTGTTGCAGGTTGGGCTGTAAGCGATTGCCTCCTGGTCCATAGTGGTGCCGTAACAGGCCGGGCTGGCGGGGGTGTGATGGCTTCTGATCTCTGCCGGTTCATTAAAGCCTTGATCGCTTTTGTGGCCACGCTTCTGGCAAATGGGCAGCGCCTGCGGGCTCTTGGCTGTTTCACTGCCTCCTGGCCTGTACGACTGATCCGAGGTGGCCATCTGCACGTGGCTGTTGTTGGGGAGCAGCCTCCGCAACCTGCCTCAAGGCTGGATGAGGCTTTTGCTCCTTCTCTGGGTCGTTGGTGGATCGCTGGGAGGAAGGAAGCCTGGAGCACAGCTGGCGCTCCAGGGCTTGAACCACTGGGTTTCGGCTGAGCCCTGCTGCTGCCCCGGGTCCGCCTGCCAGCGCCCGGTCACAGCTTGGCACACCTCTGACCCTGAAGCTGTTAATCTTTCTCACGTTGCTGGCGAGGGGGCATGTTTGAAGCAATGCTGGCATCCAGATCGCACGGGTAAACTGACTTTGTGCTGAACGGTCGCTGTCACAGAGCTCCGGTGTCGTGATAAATAGGGCTGTGATTGATGGCCTGGCGGGATTACAGCAGCTGCCGAGAAGACCCATTAGCTTAAGTCATCTACTTAGTGTTTACAGCTTAAACTGTCACGTCAGCTCAAGCTGACAGGCGAGGAACCTGCAGGATGGCTGCTGCACGGACAAAGCGTGTGAAATGTTGTGAAGCTTGACGTGTGTGCAAGGGAGTGGGAGTGCAGCCTCTGTAAGAAGGTGGATAGAGCACCCCGCCTTTGTTTTGGCTTCCCCTGCGCTGCGGCTGACCTGAAGGCAGCCCTGGGCTCCCTGCACTGTCTGCTAGACCTGCTGCAGACTGAGTCGCCCTCATCTGCTCCCTCTAGGCTGAGGCAGAAGTGGCCTCTTTGAATCGCCGTATCCAGCTGGTAGAAGAGGAGTTAGACCGAGCCCAGGAGCGCCTCGCCACAGCTCTGCAGAAGCTGGAAGAGGCAGAGAAGGCCGCAGATGAAAGCGAAAGGTGAGCAAGAACTGCTGCTCTCGCTCTGTCAGACATCTCAGATGTGTTCCTGACTGAGGGCCTGGTGCCATCAACCTCCTGGGCTTCCCGGAGGGTGGGAAGTAGATACCACATCAAGGCTGGATGTGGGAGTCGATACCTGCTTATGCAGAACAACTAAAACAATGCTGTTGGTCTTGAGTGAGCATCTTGGAACCTGAGGCTAAGGACCGAGGGAGTGCTGTGTGCTACCATGCATCCTTGCCTCCGAGGGAGGAGAAATAAGTGAGCTCTGGGACACCGTTGGCTTGTAAAGGTGGCTGCTGGTGAGGAAGTCTCTCTTCCTGCTGCCTCTGCCAGCATCCTCCCTTCTGGCAGATGTCCCTTGACCTGGCGGTGTGATTCAGAGGGGAGTGGTCCACTTCCAGTTGGCTGATGTGCCTCATCGGTGCACATGCTGTAGTGAGCAGCCTGATCCAGCTCATGTCCATAAAGATGGACTTGGCTCTCCCTGCATTCCAGCCTGGAAAGTGTTTGGCTCACCTATGTGGAGTCCCTAAGACAGCCTGGCTTGTTACCCTCGGCAGCACCATGTTTCCCTTGGTCCAGGAGCCTAACGAGCTGCTGGAGTCATGCTTCAAGGAGCAGTTAATTCTGAGCAATCGAGGTTGCTGTGTTTGCATCAGCCCGGTGGTGTCTGCCTTCCTGTGCTAACTTCTGCACTTGGAAGTGTCACAGCTCGTAAGGAAGCAGTGTGGTCCCAGGGGAAGCGCTGGTAATGCTCTGAAACTCATCACACCGCTGGCTTGTGCAGGATTGTTCTGTACTTCTCCCCTCCCTGTGCTTTCTTCTGGGCAGAGGCATGAAAGTCATTGAAAACAGAGCTCTGAAGGATGAGGAGAAGATGGAGCTGCAGGAGATCCAGCTCAAGGAAGCCAAGCACATTGCGGAGGAGGCAGACAGGAAGTATGAGGAGGTGAGACCCTTGGATGCTCTAGTACAGCTGACCCTGGCCAGGAGAGGCGGCTCCTCTTCCCACTGACAGGGCTTTCCTCAGCAAACCTGGGGGGAGAGCCTGGATCTCCACGGAGCTACACCAGTGTTCCCATTAGCTGGAAGACTCTCGCAGCTCCGGTGACTCCTGCGGGAGTTCCCTTTACTGCCTTGCGCAGCCTACGAGTCCAAAGTGGTCGTCTTTCTTCCTCTTAACTCCAATTGTCCCTTCCAAGGTTGCTCGGAAACTGGTGATCATAGAAGGAGATCTGGAGCGCACTGAAGAGAGAGCCGAGCTTGCAGAGTCGTGAGTAGCCTGCTCGCATGTAACTGGCATGTCTACCTCTGCATGAGAACTAACACAGCATTTCTAACCTTGTTACGCAAGGCCTGAAGCACAGGGTGGGTTTAGAACCTCAGAGGAAAGAGCTGGAAGCACTCTCCTGCTCAGAAAAGAGGATGTGACTCGATATGCCTTATAGTGGAAACGTTCTGCTCCCTAGTTAGCGAGGCCAGAGGGTCCTTCTCCACTCAGTATCCACCAGCACCGCTTTGTCCGTGTGGTCACTGGATCCTCACACGTTGCCCCAGGGCATGCGAGTGCACCGCGCTTGTCCTCCGCACAGCAGCAGAGGCCTCCTGGGCATGGAGCCGGAGTGGCACGCGGGAAGTCCGAGGGCTGAAATTAGTCTCTGGCCTTCTAAAACATTTGCAGGAACCGCTACAGACTTCTGCACTGCTGAGTGGCGAGCTGGACTTCCTCTGCTCAGGGCAGACACGCAAATGGGGGTGTTTGGGCTCCTTTCACGTGTCCAGATGCTTCAGCGGATCCTGGAGGAGCTGGTCAGGGCCTCTGTGTGCTCTGGGCCTTGTCTAACAAAGTTAGTGTGTACGCAGCAGTAGCACTGTGCTTCCAGCCCAGACATGCATGTCATGACCATGACTCTTTTTATGTTTTTCCCCTACCCCCTTTTTTTGCTCTGCGGTGTTGTGTTATTGGTGCTCCTTTTGACCCTTGCCCCTACCCGGCTTGTGCCATCGTGTGACCGTCACTAACAGTCGTTGCCGAGAGCTGCAGGAGCAGATCAGAGTGATGGACCAGAACTTGAAGTGTCTATCTGTTGCTGAAGAAAAGGTACTAACCTTTCCCTTCTCAAACCATTAAACCAGAATTCTCGTGGTGGTCTTGCTGCGCCACTTCCCTCTGCTTAACTGCGTCTTTCTCTCTCCTGGAATATTCTGTCTTCTCTGCCCATCAATATTCCTGTCTGAGTGGTGGTGGCTGTCCATCTATCCGTCGGAACAGCTTCCCTCCTTACAGCAAACTAAACGTGCAGTTTCTACTTCTACTCCAGGTCCAGCAGAAATCTGTGTCCACGTCTCAGCTGCTCAGCTCAGTGCCCTGCACATGCGCTGGCAGAACACTTAAAATTTGGTCTTGGAGGTGGGAAGGGAACTTGCTTTCCGCACAAGTGCCTCAAAGCAGGGTCCCATCCAGTCTGATTGCAGGCTGTCTCCTAAAGAACTTCCTTGTCTTCCCTGCACATGGATTCACTCCTTGTCTCTCCTGTCTTTCCCTCCCACTTCTTTTCCTTCTTCTCCCCACTTTCTTTACGAAACCCCACAGTAAATGTTCCGAGCTGGAAGAAGAGCTGAAGAATGTCACCAACAATCTCAAGTCTCTTGAGGCTCAGGCTGAGAAGGTAGGGCTGCTTGTCCAAGGGCCAGAAACATTTCCGTTTTGCTAGGAGGGTGTGTGACAGCAGAGCACCCACTGGGATGGATATGACGCAACTGCAGCCTTAAGCAAGCGAGGAGAGCTGTGCTTGCTCTCCCTGGAGAGCTAACGGATTGCGGGGCAGATGTTGACTGTGGAAGCTGGGGGCAGACTTGATCAGCCAAGATGTTTATGCTGCTGGGATGAGAATTTTTCTGTGCCCGAGTTTGTGTTACGTGCCTGATGCGGGACTTGCTGCCTGCCCCAGTTCTTTTGGACTAGGGTAGGGGTGTGAACAACTCCCAGTTGGAAGTTTCTGTGGGCATGCGCGCTGCAGTGAGGAGTTTTAAGTCTCCCTCTGTAGCTGTGGGCACTCTGGAGTGGGAGGTACCTGGGGCTGCTGATTGCTGACTCCTCTCCTTTTCCGCAGTACTCTCAAAAAGAGGATAAATACGAAGAAGAGATCAAGATCCTGACTGATAAACTCAAAGAGGTGAGTGACCGTGTTGGGATGGTGCAGCTGGGTGAGCTGGCCTCAGCTTGACTGGGGAGATACGTGGAGGGTGGGAGACTTCATGTCCTCAGGCTGACACCTCTGCAGTCCTTTGTATCCCAAAGCTGTTGTACTCACTGACTTGCTTCTGTCTGGCAGGCGGAGACCCGTGCTGAATTCGCCGAACGGTCTGTGGCCAAGCTGGAGAAGACCATTGATGATTTGGAAGGTACATGCTGGGGATGGGAAGGCAAAGAATGTGGTGAGGATTGGGGAGCTGAGGAAGGCTGTCTCCCAGATGGCTGGAGTGGAGGCACTGCTCTGCTCCTCAATACTTGGAGCATGACCTAACTCTGACTCCAAGGTGAGGCTTGGTGCCCCTGGGCTCAAGAGTTGTGCCCTGTGTATCTACTCTGGAAACAGTTTCCTGGCTGTGCTGTGGCAGGTCTCAAGCTCTTGATCCAAACACCTTGCCCTATCTGATTGATAGTGGCAGATAGCGTGGCTGGTTATCTTGGTTGTGGTGTCCTCAGGAACATAACTGGATTCCTGTGCTCCAGCTTAACCCAATTTAGGAAGTGGAACCCCCCGAACCCAACATGCCATAACATCCTTGTGTGCAGAATCTCATGCACGTGACTGGGTGCTGCAGTGTTGCTGCAAGTCAACCCCAGTAGTCAGTGAGTCTTGAAACAGCCCCCATGGAGCCTGAGACTCCCCAGTGTTGGTCCTAGTTCAAGATTAAATCACCAGAAGCCCCAACCATGGAGTGTGGTGGTCAGCCTATGCCAAGGATGGGTTCCTTTCCTCCTCCTGCCCCTGGTTTCGCAGTACATCAGGAGCCAGCTGTTGCAGAATCCTACCTTTCCCCAAGCTGTGGAAGGAGAAGGTTCCAGCTGTCTCCCTTGAATATGGGGCTGTGGCCAGATTCTTCTGTGGATAGCTGTG